CATCAGGTCAGAATTCCTCAGATCCACTTCCAGTCTTGCCTCAGATGGGCAGAGCGATGGCTCAGATATCCAACCCAGGGTGCTTCTCTGCCTTGCTTTTGGAATAGCTCCTCTGCTGCCAGCTAGACATCTTCTTGAGTAATGCTACCTTTCCCAAGAGTCTGCTGGTTCCTGCTTTCCCCCAGGTCATTGTCAGGAGCATGGTACATAGAAATGTAGCCACAACAACCTCCATCTTGACCCTTTCAAAGACCTTCTTGAGCACTCGGCATCCTTGCCTTGTTTGGGAGTCAGCAACTGTGTGCAGCAATGAGTAAGGCCTTCTGCTGGAGGGGTGAGGCTCTGCCAGACTGGCGTGGCCATAACCCTTAACCTGTCTGGGTTTCTTTAAGTGCTCCATCTGGATGACATCAGCCTCTTTCATCCCTTGCTGCTCTAATTGCGCTGGAGCAGACATGCATGGAAAGAGCATCCAGCCTGGGAGCCGTTTGTTCTTGCTGTCCTGTATCTTCTGGCTGCCTCAGACAGAAAAGCCTCCATCCGTTCTTGCACTCTTCCACCTTCTTTGTCTAGCAGACACTTAGCATGTGCCCTCTGCCTCAGCGGGACAGCTGGTGAGGGGTCACTTAAACTCCAAAACTGCTCCATCCCGTAGCTGCTGGTTCCCAAATGAACAGGTGGCCATGCCAGCCACCAGCTATTCTAGGAAATCAGGGTACATGCAAGTTGCACCCTGCGTTCGTGATGGCATAGGATGATCTCGGTATTAGTGGGGATGGTGAGAGATCCTCTTCACAGGCAGTTCCAACTTTTCCTCTGAGGGGCAGGTGGGAGCTTGAACACTTGTTATGGGGTGTAGTCCCAAAATAGTCTGTGCTCTGCTCCGATGCTCCCTGCTGAATGACTGTGGTGAGAGAAGGAATCTAATCTGTCTGTGGATGCTCTTGCAACTGAGTGAAGGCTGTGTTCATACCAAGGCAGGATGTGGTTGTGCTGGAAAGCCCAAAGTCATGATTTCTGTATGGAGCAGAAGAGACTTTGATTCCATCAGAAATGACAAGCTTCTGGGTCTCTCAGATCTGTTGCAAGTGGCTGTACCAAAACCAAGCTGAAGTGCTCTTTGATGGTCAACGTTAGGGCCAAGGTCTTGGCTTGTATGGGTACTGAAGGTACCGGTGCTCTTTAACATTTTACCGGTGCTCTTTAACATTTTCATCGATGACTTATAGCAGCTGTGAGACATCCAGTACACCTTCTGAGGATGTGTGTTTCTTAAACAGTGCTCTGAGAGCGTGCCCTTAGTAAGCTCACTTTCTGAGCTCAGTGATGTGAACAAGGAATTGACTTTTGTGAAATATATCTGGTCATCACAGAACCAAAAGCCTCCAGCATCACAGGGGGCTTCAAGGTCTGTAGCTGTTAGTCTTGCCTTCCTCCCAAGTCTGTGGCTGATGTGAAGTGCTCAGAGGACTTGTGGCTCCAGAAAGACATCTGAGTATTGCCTAACTGTTGCTCTGGGCTAGAAGAGCCCTCTGCTCCTTGTTTTCAGCAGGCAACTGCATGACTTCTGGGTCTGGAACTGAAGGAACTGTTCAGTTTGTAAGGGTTGCTACTAGCAACTTGGCATAATGCCCCTGTTTGAGGGCAGGGTCTGTATTTCTTACGACAAACAGGACTACCCCTGAGCGCTCTGCACTGGCTTCTTTGCAGCAGAACCCTCTCTATCAGCTGTCCTTGGGCTTTTACAACAGCAGAGCTGGTCCAGCACCAAAAGGTTTGCAAGATTGTCTCAAGGATAAGAACCCAAAGGTGTGCTGTGAACACTACTGGTGTCACCTGCTGAAGAAAAAACAACCTTCAGATGAGTTGTTATGTATTAATAACTAAAACCACTGTAAACTGAGTGATGCCTATTCTTTTCCTGAAGTTATAGGTCTAAATAGCTGGGGGCTAATAAAAGTGTAAGGCTGGTGCCATGGTCTCCCTCTGCTTTTAGTGGCAGCAGTCCAAGCACCAGTCTCTGGTTGCCATTGCACTCTTAAGCCTGAGACAACTTTGTGTGCCTTAGTCCCCAGGGCTCGGGGCCCTAGGGGAGAGTCTTGG